CCATCCCTCTGACTCAGCCCATGCCGGATGTTCTTTTATGACCTCGGTAGTTCGCAGCCGTGTAGCTTACCAGTACCATCGTGTGTAGCCATAGGGCTAAAGTGCATGAAGTGGGTACATGTATATCAAAGTGCAAGAAGTGGGTACATGTACATCGCAGCTACGATAGTCCAAGCACAGCAATGGGCGGTGGATTTAGTGGCTCAGAACCTGACAAACGCACACTGAATTCTTTCTTCAATTTCGTGCCTGCATATGCGTGTTTGGGTGTGCGCGCGTGCGTGTGTGGTGTGTGTGTGTGTGTGTGTGTGTGTGTGTGTGTGTGTGTGTGCGCGCGTGTGTGTGTGCGTGTGTATGTGTGCTCGTGTGTGTGTGTGTACGTGTGTTACCAGGTCCTGTACGGTCATTCGGCTCCCATCACGTGTCTCCAAGCCAGCACTACCTACAGCGTCATAGTCAGCGCTGCACAGGTATGGTGATGAGGAGGATGACGACTTTTGTTTTACTTCGCAAAATCCAAACGTCTGCGTGGCTTCTTGATGTCATTCCCCCCTCTACGACTGTATGAATGAAGAGCTGAGATACAAAACCGGATAAGTGCCAAATCTGAAAAAGAAATTCAGGCCAAAATGTCTGGAGGCATCACCAGGCAAAATTTCACATTCTAAATCTGACTATAGAACCGTTTCAAGAATGGAGCCCGAAATGGAGTGCTACTTTTTGAAGTACTTTTACTGAATGGAGACGAGAGTGGCTAACCGATGGCTTGGCAATCACCTTTTTCAGTGCTACATTTCCATTTCCATTATTTTGTTGCTAAAAGCAGGCTGGTAACGTATACAGTCAGCACTGGGCCGCTTGATGGGTTTTTTTGTTTTTGTTTTTGTGAAGCACATGATAATAGTGGCTCTAAATCCACATTTCTTTTGTAGGGCTGTGTTCCCAGTAAAAAAAAGCACAAAGATATACTAACTTGGTGCAAAAAGGAGAAAAGAATATAGTAACGCCCCAAAGCGCTAAATACAAAGTAAAGAGAACAGGAAATCATCAACCTCATAGCGCTAAAGCTGCACCAAATGATAAGCCTTGTGATGTGAGCGTTTGGCAATGCTGCCTGTGGTCCCCATAGCAAACTTTAGTTACTATTTGTGGTATTCTCTAGCTTCTGTTTGTTTGCAGTTGTTCTTGTGCAACCCCCCCCCCCCCACACACACACATTTTTCGATGCCTAGTTGCAACGCTGACGCCGAGACCTCTGGTCGGTTGAGTTGCTCCCAGCACATCAGCACGTCGTCCCTACATCCCCTATGTTTTGTCCTTTTCCTCGTTTCTTTTTGTTCTCCACCTGTTTTCCAGTAGGGCTGTGTCAATAGTAAAAAAAAAAAAAAAAAAAAAAAAAAAAAAAACCATGCCGAGTTGCCCATCTGTCACATGACCATATGGGATTGCCGTGCTGGTTCCAGCTCCGGTCAACCCCCTTGCATTGACGGGTCACATGTTGGCCATGTTGGTTCCACCATCCACTATCCACTATCCACTGTCCACTGTCCATGCCCTCTTTCTACATGGCCAATATGGGAAACCAATTTATTCTTGCTTTTCTGATACTTGCTTCACGCACTGATCTCTTCTAGTACATAATTTGATCATTTTTGTCCATGTGTTGGTTCTATGGTGTAATGGTTAGCACTCTGGACTTTGAATCCAGCGATCCGAGTTCAAATCTCGGTAGAACCTTTTTTCTTCTTTTTTTAGTTTACCCCTATAGCAAGAGTACATACCGTATTCGCGCGGTTAGTGCCTCTGGGGTACTATTTTTTTTCAATGTCCATCTCAGATGGGGCACTATTCAAGGGAGGGCACTATTCAAGAGAGGGTACTATTTGTTCGATGCTGGTACATTTGCATCATCCAGCGTAAAAAAAATTGCTATTCAAGAGAGGGCTTTATTCTTTCACTGGCTCTAATAGACTGGGGCACTATTCGAGAGAGAGAGAGCTCTAATCGTGCGAGTATGGTAACCCAGGTTACACACAGGGCAGAACAACAGAGACCAAAAATCCTTCTCGTGACTCCGAGTTTCGTGTTTCAAAAAACACTCATCAGACGATAAACCATAATAATGCTATTCGCTAGTTATGTAGGGTGATTGTAATGTAGGCTAAGGCAGTGCCGCAACTATGAAGCTTGAGGAGATAACATCAGCGCTGGAATACACTGTGCGTAATATGAGTGCAAGTGACTACAGACACTTTGTAACCCAGGTTATGTACTAAAATAGGCGACGTGCAAACTCACTCTTTATCGTACCATTTCGAAGGATATTTGCTCGTATTCGGTAAACCTGGACACACGTGTGCAACTGATTTTTGAACTTGCCTGGTGCCCTTGTGCTCATGATTATACTTTGCGTGAGATCAAACGTGTCAGGAACTGCAGGAATTTCGTTTGTTGAAAGCGAGCGGTAGTCGTATGGAACTATTATTAATTTGCAAAAGCGAATATTCAGAATTTCCCGGCATATTCACGAGATCACTATGGATACGTTGACGCTTGCGAAATTTGTCCTTCACCGTGTGAACTGGGTGACGGTTTGCAAGTGACTGCTGTACTACACGCTTGTATGTCTTTGCACGTCGTGTGAATGGCCTTCTTAAAAAAAAAAAAAAAAAAAATTCACGGTTCGCGTGAGACTCGGCTGAAAGCCTTCTTATGTCAGCTAATATTCGGCGCACACTTTTTTCCAACTATTTTTGGCAAATTTTCCCACTACTCTAATTTCAGAAATTTTAGGTGCTCAATATTTTCGGTATGAGGGCAAAAGGCCAGGTTAGGTGAGCAGAAATTTTAGGTACAGAGAAACAGTTCCCTATTGTATTATGTGTGTTAGTGTTTGTTCGGTGTAATGAAATTTTCGGTATTAAACAGACGCACCGAAAGTACCGAAATAAAAGTACACCGAAAATTTGTGAAACTACAGTATTTTAGACTTTCGGTGTCAAGCCGTGTGGGTGCATGCGTGCGTGTACAGCCATGTTGATGTTTGCTGTGTGTCTCACAACATTGCTGTCTTATCTGTGTACACAGGATGGTACATGCTTCATCTGGGATCTCCAGCGTCTGGCGTTCATTCGTCAACTGCAAGTTCATCGCCATCCCGTAGAAGCTATCTGTATCAATGACTTGACGGTGAGAGAGAGAGAGAGAGAGTTTGTTTGTATGTGTGCGGGCGTGTGCGTCTGCGTGCATGCATGTGTGTATGTGTGTACTAGTATGCGTTTGCGAGAGAGAAAGTGTGTGTATGTGTGGGTGTGTGTGTGTGTGGGGGGGGGGGGGGGGGAGGTGAGGGAGAGGGAAAGTGTGTGGCAGAGGTGTGTGGCACTGGCACATACATGCTTGTGCGTCAGTGTACAGATTTGATCTTCTTTTGTAAAAGTTTCGCTTGCTTGTGCTCCGTGTGGCACACTATTCCTTGTGGCACACTATTCCTTGTGGCACACTTGCTTCTGCGAGTAGCTTCTCTAAGTAGCTTTATGAGAAAACTGTTTGACACCTCCTGTTCACTTCTCTTCAGTTCAGGTCCATCAAAAGTTAGTGTTGTGAGTGCCCCATGCAAACCTACTGCGACTTGTACTCTAAACACAACAAGACTAACTAACACTATCCACCGGTACTATCCCCTGCCGTACAGAGTGAATGTTAGTTCCCAGAACCAGCAGCCCATGCATTGGTCACCACCATCACCACCACCACCACCACCACCACCACCACCACCACCACCACCACCACCACCACCACCACCACCACCACCACCACCACCACCACCACCACCACCACCACCACCACCAGTACCACCACATACATCTGCTGTTGGATGTAGTTGGCAAGCGGTGATGAGCCTTTTTGTTCTTTCCTGTTTTTGTTGTTCTTTTTGTTGTGTTTTTTTTTGTTTGTTTGTTGTACCAGGGTGACATAGTGACGTGTGCAAACACCACCTTAGCATGGTGGAGTATCAACGGTGATCTACTGGGCAGAGAGACAATGCCAAGTGCTGACGGACATGCCATCACCTGCTGTACTATGTCTGAGGTAAGGAAGGTGATGATGGCCTCCTCCTCCTCCTCCTCCTCCTCCTCCTCCTCCTCCTCCTCCTCCTCCTCCTCCTCCTCCTCCTCCTCCTCCTCCTCCTCCTCCTCCTTCTCGCTACACACTGACTGACCATGTCCATAACCAAGAGTACATAACCCCCAAGAGTGTGCAACTGCCTGCACAGCCTCTATGCAGTGCTGCGACGGCCGAACTTCACATCACGTGACACGATCCGAAAGGTTACACTGACAAACCGTGCAAAGTGACCACAAGAGAGTTGTACCCAAAGCTGGGTTGCGTACAACCCTGTATCTATCATGCACAGAGTGCAAATAATGTGTACGGGTTCATCACTTGATGTGAAGTTCTGCCGTCACGGACCCCATAGCTGGAGTTGCACACTCTTGGGGGTTATGTACTCTTGCCCTGACCCAGACTCCCAGACTCACACTCGCATACTCTCTTGATTATGGAGTCTTGCTTCTATTGCGACTAGAGAGTAGAGCCATTGTACAATAATTATAGACAGACACATGTTCTTCCATTGTAGGCAGCCCTAATCGTTTTAATCCTTTGCCCGCCAGCATTACGCACACACGCCATGCTCCAAATGTGCACCGACTGCACATTCATGTACTGTACAGGCAGAACATTTAGTCGGTCAATAATTTCGTCCAACTGCAAAGAAAGTGAGTTTGTCTGGTTGAGCACTTCGTCCATGGATCATACGAATGTGTATGAAAAGCTGGACAAATCGACATCAGTCCGGCATTTAATTTAGTCCAAAGACCATTGGACGAAAAAGACAAAACTAAATTCCAGATGACTGTTTCTGCTTATACATGTATGACCTAACGTTCTGAGCACTGTGGGACTGGTAAGGGCTTCCAGGGTCCCTATCAGCTCTGCCACACATTTACGGGGACTGGTATGGGCTTCCAGGGTCCCTATCAGCTCTGCCACACATTTACGGGGACTGGTATGGGCTTCCAGGGTCCCTATCAGCTCTGCCACACATTTACAGGGACTGGTATGGGCTTCCAGGGTCCCTATCAGCTCTGCCACACATTTACGGGGACTGGTATGGGCTTCCAGGGTCCCTATCAGCTCTGCCACACATTTACGGGGACTGGTATGGGCTTCCAGGGTCCCTATCAGCTCTGCCACACATTTACGGGGACTGGTATGGGCTTCCAGGGTCCCTATCAGCTCTGCCACACATTTACGGGGACTGGTATGGGCTTCCAGGGTCCCTATCAGCTCTGCCACACATTTACGGGGACTGGTATGGGCTTCCAGGGTCCCTATCAGCTCTGCCACACATTTACGGGGACTGGTATGGGCTTCCAGGGTCCCTATCAGCTCTGCCACACATTTACAGGGACTGGTATGGGCTTCCAGGGTCCCTATCGGCTCTGCCACACATTTACAGGGACTGGTATGGGCTTCCAGGGTCCCTATCAGCTCTGCCACACATTTACGGGGACTGGTATGGGCTTCCAGGGCCCCTATCAGCTCTGCCACACATTTACGGGGACTGGTATGGGCTTCCAGGGCCCCTATCAGCTCTGCCACACATTTACGGGGACTGGTATGGGCTTCCAGGGTCCCTATCAGCTCTGCCACACATTTACGGGGACTGGTATGGGCTTCCAGGGTCCCTAGCAGCTCTGCCACACATTTACGGGGGCTTCCAGGGTCCCTATCAGCTCTGCCACACATTTACGGGGACTGGTATGGGCTTCCAGGGTCCCTATCAGCTCTGCCACACATTTACGGGGACTGGTATGGGCTTCCAGGGTCCCTATCAGCTCTGCCACACATTTACGGGGACTGGTATGGGCTTCCAGGGTCCTTATCAGCTCTGCCACACATTTACAGGGACTGGTATGGGCTTCCAGGGTCCCTATCGGCTCTGCCACACATTTACAGGGACTGGTATGGGCTTCCAGGGTCCCTATCAGCTCTGCCACACATTTACAAGGACTGGTATGGGCTTCCAGGGCCCCTATCAGCTCTGCCACACATTTACGGGGACTGGTATGGGCTTCCAGGGCCCCTATCAGCTCTGCCACACATTTATGGGGACTGGTATGGGCTTCCAGGGTCCCTAGCAGCTCTGCCACACATTTACGGGGACTGGTATGGGCTTCCAGGGTCCCTAGCAGCTCTGCCACACATTTACGGGGACTGGTATGGGCTTCCAGGGTCCCTATCAGCTCTGCCACACATTTACGGGGACTGGTATGGGCTTCCAGGGTCCCTATCAGCTCTGCCACACATTTACAGGGACTGGTATGGGCTTCCAGGGTCCCTATCGGCTCTGCCACACATTTACAGGGACTGGTATGGGCTTCCAGGGTCCCTATCAGCTCTGCCACTCATTTACAGGTACTGGTATGGGCTTCCAGGGTCCCTATCGGCTCTGCCACACATTTACAGGGACTGGTATGGGCTTCCAGGGTCCCTATCAGCTCTGCCACACATTTACAGGGACTGGTATGGGCTTCCACGGTCTCTATCGGCTCTGCCACACATTTATGGGGACTGGTATGGGCTTCCAGGGTCCCTATCGGCTCTGCCACACATTTACAGGGACTGGTATGGGCTTCCAGGGTCCCTATCGGCTCTGCCACACATTTACAGGGACTAGTATGGGCTTCCACGGTCCCTATCGGCTCTGCCACACATTTATGGGGACTGGTATGGACTTCCAGGGTCCCTATCGGCTCTGCCACACATTTACGGGGACTAGTATGGGCTTCCAGGGTCCCTATCGGCTCTGCCACATATTTACGGGGACTAGTATGGGCTTCCAGGGTCCCTATCGGCTCTGCCACACATTTACGGGGACTAGTATGGGCTTCCAGGGTCCCTATCAGCTCTGCCACACATTTACAGGGACTGGTATGGGCTTCCACGGTCCCTATCGGCTCTGCCACACATTTATGGGGACTGGTATGGGCTTCCAGGGTCCCTATCGGCTCTGCCACACATTTACGGGGACTGGTATGGGCTTCCAGGGTCCCTATCGGCTCTGCCACACATTTACAGGGACTAGTATGGGCTTCCACGGTCCCTATCGGCTCTGCCACACATTTATGGGGACTGGTATGGACTTCCAGGGTCCCTATCGGCTCTGCCACACATTTACGTGGACTAGTATGGGCTTCCAGGGTCCCTATCGGCTCTGCCACATATTTACGGGGACTAGTATGGGCTTCCAGGGTCCCTATCGGCTCTGCCACACATTTACGGGGACTAGTATGGGCTTCCAGGGTCCCTATCGGCTCTGCCACACATTTACAGGGACTGGTATGGGCTTCCACGGTCCCTATCGGCTCTGCCACACATTTATGGGGACTGGTATGGGCTTCCAGGGTCCCTATCGGCTCTGCCACACATTTACGGGGACTAGTATGGGCTTCCAGGGTCCCTATCGACTCTGCCACACATTTACGGGGACTGGTATGGGGTTCCAGGGTCCCTATCAGCTCTGCCACACATTTACGGGGACTGGTATGGGCTTCCCTATCTGCTCTGCCACACGTCTAAGGTGTCCTTCAAGACGCGCTGTGATGTGAAGGCATGTGTTGTGAAGCTGCAAACTCGGCACTGACTATGTGTTATTTTTAGTTTCGCCGGGTGACAATTGAGCTAGGTGCATTACATGAACTGCAGCTATGGCATAGAAAGGAATAAAGACTCTACATTTGCTCAGCATACTACAAGTATATGAACTGATTGAACTCGTGTTTGTTTTCTGTGCGTGTGTGTGTGTGTGCCCGCCTGCACGTGTGTGTGTGTGTGTGTGTGTGTGCCAGCTAGTTCGGTTGGTGGGTACACTTATGCCAGATAGTGTTGGGCCTGTTGCCAACGGGCTCGGCTGCTTGAAGGTGTATTGTTGTACCTACCACCTTTGTTGGTTTCAGGGTTCATATACTTTCTATTTGAAGTATACATACCTGTTAACCATGGACTGCTTCTGGCTAGATTAACTCTTGTGTAATCAATGGTGCTAGTGAAGCTTATATCAGATCCACTCTGATTTAGCCACCCACACTAGTGCCAAGTATTACCTTCACTGGGGGCAGGGGTACCTGCAGTTGGATCCCGGGACGGATACCCTGATGCCGTCAATCCTTTTTCTGCACCTTGTCCTCACCCACTTACTGAGGTGTGGTGAGCCCATAAGTGGGATCATTTCAAGTCCACCCTAGTTTGGGGATTTCAGGGGGTGTCGGCCGTTGGGTGGTTCAATGGCCAATTGAGTCATCTTTCCAAGATTCCTTTTGAGTCTCTCTCCCCTCTCCCGGGGAGACCCACGTGACCAGTTTTGGCAGTGAGCAAGTACAAGTACAAGTACAAGTGTGTGTGTGTGTGTGTGTGTGTTGTGTGGTGTGTGGTGTGTGGTGTGTGGTGTGTGGGCTTGCACATGCACGCACGTGTGTGTATATGTATGTATATGTGTGTGTTTGTGTGCTCTTGTATGCGTTAACAGCTGTGCGTTTGGGACAGCGAGAATGTGATAGTCACTGGCTCAATGGATGGTGTAGTGCGGGTACGTTCACATTGACATCTTGCCTGTCTGAAATGTCTGAAACAGTATGATTGCGAGTGCTGCATCATAGCTGTTACGCGTCAGCTTACTGTTAGACGACGGTCTGTTAGACGATGGTCTGTTAGGCTACGGACTGCCAGCGCAATGTGCGGGCGCAATGTGCCAGCGCAATTCATCTATAAATAACCTTCTTGTTGTGTTAAAGGACAATGTCAAATCCAACAACACCGTCATTCTGTGCATGCTGAACAGTTACACTGTCTTTGCTGTTTTTACTGTTTTTGCTGTTTTTGCTGTTTTTGCTGTTTGCATGCGCTGTGCCCATTGGGGCACATCTTATTCCAGTTCCACTGTGGCTGTACTACGTGTTGTAGAGCTGCATGACTGCATGACTGCATGACTGCATGACTGCATGACTGCATGACTGCATGATAGCATGACTGCATGATAGCTTGACTGCATGACTGCATGATAGCATCAAGAGTATATAACCCCCCCCCCCCCCCTCCCCAAGAGTGTGCAACTCTGTATATGGGGTCTCCGACGGCGAAAACTCACATCACGTGTCTCAGGCAAGTTCGTACTACGTACAAACGGAGGATAGCGTGCGCGCAATCCGATTATCTGCCATGATCATGCTGGGGATTTGCATACCCGCAGTGAGTTTCTGTCAGAGTGCTTTTTTATTACTCCGCTGCTCGCTAAAAACGATCTGGAAACGTACAACTGCGACACTGCACCACGTGATGTGAGTTTTCGCCGTCGGCGCACCGCATAGAAAGGGTATCAGGAGTTGCACACTCTTGGGGGGTTACATACTCTTGATAGCATGCACACACACACACACTACAGCCTTATTGTGTAGACCTGTGCATGATTGACTGCACGCATACACTACAACACTGTTATGTAGACCTTATCTGACCTATGTGCATGTTTTACTCAATTTAATAATAGATTTGTATAAGAACAGAGCAGAGCTAACTTTGTCTCTTGTGTGTGTGTGTGTGTGTGTGTGTGTGTGTGTGTGTGTGTGTGTGTGTGTCGGTGTGTCGGTGTGTGTGTGTGTGAGTGTGTGTGTGTGTCGGTGTGTGTGTGTGTGTGTGTGTCGGTGTGTGTGTGTGTGTATGTGTGTGTGTGTGTACACGTGCTTGCGTGTTTGTGTGTGTGTGTATGCATGTATGTCTTGTTCAGTTCTGGAGTCTTGGGTTTCGTGACCTGCACTACAGCAGCAGCAAGACTGCCAACCAGCTAGCGGACTTGTCACGTGTGAATAGCAGTGCCTTATCAGAGTACAGCACAAACACTGCAAGCCATACGCCATCTCCTAGTATGCCTTCGCCAGCGCCA